CCCCCGTACATTACCTTGAAAGCTAAGGCACCTTGCCCTGTACACACGCTACTCTGCGCCCTGACACGCTCTGTCTTGTCCCTCCTCGTGTCCATCTTTACCCTCCTTTTTTTCCGGCATCCTCCTCCACTTTATTCCTGACCTACCCATCCTGTCGACCTTACCTAAAGGATCTCGCCCGCCTGCGGCACATCACACCCCCTACAACTCCCCTCCCCAACCCAACCACCTGCCGACGACCTCAACTATTCGCAGTGTCGCTTTTTTCTCTCTTTTTGATAGCACTGACACGGTTCACTGAGACTTCGTGGTACTGTGCCCTGGGGACCGGCGACAAGACGCTCGTGTTTGCCAACATCAAATCGCATTCCTCGCACTCTCCGTCGTTGCGATCGACCTGCTCACGAAGCTACTATGCTGTGGTTCTCCCTCGACTTTTGATCGACACGACACTGGCTTCTGAAGAACACCCCGCGCTTCTCTTGAGGGGAGAGCAGGTGCCCTACCGAACGAACGACATCACTCGACCTTTTCGAGACGGTTCACAAGATCAACCTCTCGCCGCCATAATCTCACAACTGAACCAGGCGACACCCCTTGCCTCGCAGCCCCCATCCCGACAATGGTAGATGATTCAGCCTTGGCCGCTGCGGCGGCCATTGTGCAGTCGTTTGCCGCCGACGGAAGCACCCCCATGTCTCTTCCCTTCCGGAAGGACACGACGAGAATCGAGCTGCCCGGTCGCGACACACCCGCCAAGCGCAGCCTCGAGCTCGAACTCGCCAAACTCGCCCAGAGGATCGACAAGCTTGAGAACCGCGCCCACTCGGCTCCCACAGCCTTTCCAGAGACCCCCAACGAGGTCAACGACTCTCTCTTCGGAGATGACCCGACTGGCACGTTCCCCTCCCTCGGCGGCCGAGTTGTGTCGCGGCCCCAGTTGCAACGAGAAGGTACACAGGCTGATTCTGGGAGTGCAGGCAGCCCGCTGACTGACGAAGCTCTCGAGAGCCTCCAAGAGAAGGTACTCGACCAGGAGAAGGGTATTTCCAGCGCCAGGGAAGAGATCACCAGCGTCAGCGCCCAGCTGCTCGAACAGAAGGAACTGCAAGAGCAGGCGTTCTCTAGGATCGAGCAGGACCGCGTCGCTAGGCTCGAGCGCGAACTATGGAAACACCAAAAGGCCAACGAGGCCTTCCAGAAGGCTCTCCGAGAAATCGGCGAGATTGTCACTGCCGTTGCTCGCGGTGACCTCTCCAAGAAGGTCCGCATGAACTCTGTCGAGATGGACCCCGAAATTACGACCTTCAAGAGGACGATCAACACCATGATGGACCAGCTCCAAGTCTTCTCCAGCGAAGTGTCTCGCGTCGCCCGTGAAGTCGGCACCGAAGGTCTGCTCGGTGGCCAGGCCCGCATCGAGGGTGTCGACGGCACCTGGAAGGAGCTTACAGACAATGGTGCGCTCGGCCAGACCAGTCTCGCGGAAGAACTACCCTTGCTAACGATGCCGCAGTCAACGTTATGGCCCAGAACCTTACCGACCAAGGTAAACACCCCCCTCTGTCTCTCTCTTTTCACCTCTGCTGTAGACCCTCATGGCTGACCTGCTTCTTCAGTGCGCGAAATCGCGTCTGTCACTACAGCCGTCGCCTATGGTGACCTAACCAAGAAGATTGAACGTCCCGCGCGTGGAGAGATCTTGCAGTTGCAACAAACCATCAACACCATGGTGGACCAGCTGCGAACCTTTGCCTCAGAGGTCACGCGTGTCGCTCGCGATGTCGGAACGGAGGGTATGCTGGGTGGCCAGGCTGATGTTGAAGGCGTCAAGGGCATGTGGAACGAACTCACGGTCAACGTCAACGCCATGGCGAACAATCTCACGACGCAAGTGCGAGACATCATTGAAGTCACGACGGCTGTAGCCAAGGGTGATCTCACGCAAAAGGTTCAGGCCGACTGCAGGGGTGAAATCTTTGAGCTCAAATCCACAATCAACTCCATGGTCGACCAACTGCAGCAGTTTGCTCGCGAGGTCACCAAGATCGCGAGAGAGGTCGGCACCGAAGGACGACTGGGTGGACAGGCTACTGTGCACGATGTTGAGGGCACCTGGAAGGATCTCACCGAGAACGTCAACGGCATGGCCATGAACCTGACAACTCAGGTGCGAGAGATCGCCAGAATCACGACAGCCGTCGCCAAGGGCGATCTTACCAAGAAGATCGGCGTGCCTGCTCAGGGTGAGATCCTTGATCTCAAGAACACAATCAACACCATGGTGGACCGCCTCGGCACCTTTGCCTTCGAGGTCAGCAAGGTCGCTCGTGAGGTCGGCACAGATGGTACGCTCGGTGGACAGGCGCAGGTCAACAACGTCGAGGGTAAATGGAAGGACCTCACAGAGAACGTCAACACGATGGCGTCCAACCTGACATTACAGGTATGTCGAATACAACCCGATATTGGTTCTCGCCCACCTGCTAACATGTGCAAAGGTCCGAGGTATTTCTACCGTCACACAGGCTATCGCGAATGGCAGGATGAGTCAAAAGATTGAAGTCGAGGCTTCGGGAGAGTTCCTGGTCCTCAAGGAGACGATCAACAACATGGTTGATCGTCTTTCCAATTTCTGCAACGAAGTTCAACGAGTCGCTCGAGATGTCGGTGTCGACGGCAAGATGGGAGCCCAAGCCGACGTGGCTGGACTCAACGGTCGCTGGAAGGAGATCACTTCGGACGTCAACACCATGGCTAGCAACTTGGTAGGCACCTCCACCGTCCAGCAGGTCTCCCCTACCATGGCTGAACTAACATGCGCAGACTACACAAGTGCGAGCCTTCTCCGACATTACGAACCTTGCTACCGACGGTGATTTCACAAAACTAGTCGAAGTTGAGGCGTCTGGTGAAATGGACGAGCTCAAGCGCAAGATTAACCAGATGGTGTCCAACTTGCGAGACAGTATTCAAAGAAACACCCAGGCAAGGGAAGCTGCAGAGCTCGCCAACAAGACAAAGTCGGAGTTCCTCGCCAACATGTCGCACGAGATTCGAACGCCCATGAACGGCATCATCGGCATGACCCAGCTGACCTTGGACACTGACCTGACGCAATACCAGCGTGAGATGCTGAATATCGTCAACAGTTTGGCTAATAGTTTGTTGACTATTATCGACGACATTTTGGATCTGTCCAAGATCGAGGCGAGGAGGATGGTCATTGAAGAGATTCCCTACACACTCCGCGGCACTGTCTTCAACGCCCTGAAGACCCTAGCAGTGAAGGCCAACGAAAAGTACTTGGACCTCACGTACAAGGTCGACAGCTCCGTTCCGGATTATGTTATTGGCGATTCTTTCCGTCTGCGACAGATCATTCTCAACCTAGTCGGAAACGCGATCAAATTCACCGAGCATGGTGAAGTCAGCCTTACGATCAAGAAGGCCGATGAGCTCAAGTTTCCCTGCGGCCCCAACCAGTACGCAATCGAGTTTGTTGTGACGGACACCGGTATTGGTATTGCCGCCGACAAGTTAGATCTCATCTTCGACACCTTCCAGCAAGCCGACGGATCGATGACCCGCAAGTTCGGTGGCACCGGACTTGGCCTGTCCATCTCCAAGCGGCTGGTTAAGCTCATGGGTGGTGATCTGTGGGTGAAGAGCAATCACGGCAAAGGCAGCGCATTCCACTTTACCTGCAAGGTTCGCCTGTGCGACGTTGGTTTCGAGTCGATCGAGAAGCAGATCAAGCCGTACAAGGGCCACCAAGTCCTTTTCGTGGATAAGACGCAGACGGCTTACGGTATGGAAATTCGCGACATGCTTGGCGCCATTGGTCTCATTCCCGTTGTTGTCGATTCCGAGAAGAGCCCCTCCCTGGACAGGGTCCGCGGCATGGCCGCCGCGTCCATGCCTTACGACGTCATCATTGTCGACTCCATCGACACAGCGAGGAGACTCCGCTCGGTGGACGACTTCAAGTATCTCCCCATCGTTCTCTTGGCCCCCATCGTCAATGTCAGGATGAAGGCTTGCTTGGACCTTGGCATTACATCCTACATGACAACGCCTTGCAAAGCTGTCGACCTTGGCAACGGAATGATCCCGGCTCTTGAAAACCGTGCCACGCCTTCGTTGGCAGACAACACCAAGTCGTTTGAGATTTTGCTGGCGGAAGACAACCGAGTCAACCAGCGTCTGGCCGTCAAGATCCTCGAGAAGTACCACCACGTTGTCACGGTCGTTGGTAACGGCCACGAGGCTGTCGAAGCCATCAAGCGAAAGAGGTTCGACGTCATCCTCATGGACGTGCAGATGCCCATCATGGGAGGTTTCGAGGCCACTGGCAAGATCAGAGACTACGAGCGCGAGGCCGGCTCCCACCGAACGCCTATTATTGCCCTCACGGCACACGCCATGATGGGTGATCGTGAGAAGTGCATCCAGGCTCAGATGGACGAGTACCTGTCGAAGCCGCTTCAACAGAACCACCTTATCCAGACGATTCTCAAATGCGCAACCCTCGGTGGGCAGCTCCTCGAGAAGAACCGCGAGCGAGACCAGCCGCACAAGAAGGAGGACGGCGACAAGAAGACGGATGATTCTGGCTCAAGCCTCCGGCCTTCGCTGGAGACCCGTGCTTTCACGTCTAGGGACCCGCTGGTAGGACAGGGTCTCGACAGCCCGGCCCTGGTGACTGCGGATCAGGAGGATCCCATCTCGAGAGTAAGTTTTGGCGACTACCTTGCATGTGTGACTGATGTGCTAATCATTTCCCAGTTTCACTCGATGAGGTCTCACAGCACCTAGGATGAGGCGTCGCGAAGAGAAAAGCGCAAGTGGCCTTACGAACACGTCAGCTCCCCTGACGAAGAAAAGGCGCCCAGCAAACAACCACGGCTTTGATCCTGGTACGGTCTGTTTGGCATGACAATATCTTTATACCAAACAGACCAGGGCCTTGGCACTTCAAGCTACTCTTCGCGGCACCACGAACACCAATATGAAATCCTTGCGCGCTTGATGTCTCCCACCATATGGTGAACGTCGAAACGCCGGTCATGTTGAAAACGAATCGAAATGGTCTTCTCTTGAAACCATGCTTTTGTCCAAAAGCAACCTACAAACCCTTCACCTCTCCTCCCATCCCAGATTTGCCCACAAGAGCGCGACATGGCAGCCCTACGGCCGCCATGGCCGACTTGTCGAATGAAGCATTAGCGCTTGCTTGGTCCCTTTGCCCTCCCAGTTTCCGCATACCGGGATGTTTTGCGTACGAGACGGAATATGGTCCGGAACATACAAACGAGTACAGTCCGGCTGGGCTGACTGCGAGTCACGGCCGTCCGCACGGGCACGGCTCTACTCGTACATGAAGCATCACTTACCGCCCGCGAGCAAGACGAAACAACACGCATCCGCGTCGCGTTGATTTTGTCTGTGGTTCTCGTTGTATTTCTTATTTTTCCTTGTAATTATTCTTCCGTCTAAGGAACAACACTTTGTCTCTTTGCATGGCGGCTGCTTGCAGCGGTTGTGCCTGGGGACTCAGACGCGGTTCTCTTGGGGTTTCTGTTTCTCTTTTTCCGGTCGCTGCTCGGGTTTCGTTGCTATGGAAGGATGTTCTGCTTTCCTCTTTTCTACTGACGGTGAACGAGTATTGGCCGCCCCTTTTTCTTTGAGGGAATCGAGGCAGGTGGCATGCAAACGATGAAAGAGAGACGACGTGGGGAAAGGGAGGGTTTGGTTCCCTATGAACTCTCTTTCGCCCAAGTGATGGTCCTTGCGTTGGTGGAACGGGCTCAGGTTCCCACGGTTGGCGTCTTGAGGGACTCGTCTTTTTGTCTTCTTCTTTAACACCAAACCATATATCCCGGCCACGTACGAGGCTGTTTCTACCGTCTTGATCTTGCCGTGTGAGATGAAATTTGCTGCTATTCAAACTGCTTGTGAGGCTCGCGTGCGGGACTCGGTGATCTAATGGCATGGTCTGCCGGGTTGTGGACCACACTACCTCAGGCAACATCTGAAGATAAGAAAGAGTATTCCTGACCTCGGTGTTTTTCGCAATGTTGTACCATCCTGACCAGGCTTTAGACGATGAGAAGACGAAAAGGACAATCTAAACGGACCAGACAGCGCGAGGCGCTTCCTGATCGTTGAGACAAATTTCGAGATAAAACCGCAACGAGGCGCCACTATGTTTTCGCCATCGTCAAGATCCTGTCAGCGCGGCGGCGGCAGCACGAAACATGCGTTTCCGTCCTCAACACTCGCCTTCTTCTCGTTGAAGCCGTAGCTGGCACCTGTTCCAGCCCAGAGCGAGGCCTCTTTTCTACTCCATCTAATTCGGCAGAGGCTCCAGCGTGCCGCGAGAGACTGCGTGGTCACCCCAATGGCCGTATCTTCGCAGTCTGAACACCGCCAGCCGGCGTCATGGTATTTGGTCTTGGCTCCATGCTGCCCAGAGGCATCACCGCCAACCAGTGCCCATGACTCCAGAACTGAACATGCCGAAATGACATTCCGTCGTCCACGTATGGGCCCTTCACTCTGTTGGGCGGCACATTCCGGCCCCTGGCTATCGAGGAGTTCGTATCCCGCGTACCCCCTGATCCCCAGTTTGTCTACGAATCCTCAAAGATCGAGATAGATAAATAAAAAAAATAAAATAAACCATACTTCGAATCGCCAGAGACATGTACACGTACCTTGCCAGATGTCCTCTCTTCCTCCATGTTCTTGTCCATTCTTTCTTTTTCCTCTTACCACTTGTTGCGAGCTGAGCACGCTCGACCTCGGCGATGCGACGACAACTCTTTCTCCCCACCACCCCCACTCCTCCCTTGCAACAGCCACAGCATCAAAACTGACATACAGACAAGACTAGAGCCAGCCTCAGGCGTCGTTAGCTCAGTGTTGCGGGGTCGTCGAGGACCCTGAATTTTGTCCTCGTTCATCCGAGGCTATGGGGCAGGGTCGTAGACAAGACAAGGGCGAAAACGCCTGCCCGCGGCGCCACACATAGGGGTGGTGTCCAAAAGAAACGATGCGTCAGGTTCTAGAATCCACATTCTGTCTACCATGGCAATCTCGAATATCCATCGCTTCGCGCCCTCTCTCATACGACACGAAGACAACATGGAGCTGCAGGGACCGGCACCGGCACCGGCACCAAAAAGAAACAGAGCTCGGCAAGACCATCTCGGCCCGTATATCACATTAAGCTGGAATAACGACAAGACGGCGATGGGGCACCTACGTGCATGGTCTGGCGTTCAGTTGATTAGGGACTCAACCCCTCCCCCACCGATCGTCGTTTACATAAGAAAGCTAGAGCTGTGTGTAAAAAAAGGGACTACTCAACAAGCCACGGGCCCGAACATGAGAGGCTACTGAGCAAGCTGCATATCCGGACCCGTAAGGCAGCTACAGCCTCCTTCCCCGCCACCATCTCGATATCCCATATCGTGACAAGGGAAGAGAAAGATGGCTCCCTGTATTTCCTAGGGCACCCCTGGCTTTCGCGACCCGGGCCGCTGGTGGTCGACGATCCTGCCTCTTCTCGACTGCAGGTCCCCACAGCTGAAGGGATGCATTCGGGCCTCAACAGCGATGCTTGTCTTGTTCTATGCTGTCCCTCCGTGCTGCATGATAATCGTTATGGGGACATCTAGCCCAGAACTCACTTCTCAGCGGGACCCTTGCCGCCCGAGGAGGCATTCCGCAGCTCGTCAGTCTCGAAACCGGCCAGCAGCTCGTCGAGCCTGCTTTCCAGCTTTGCAAGGTTGGCTTCGAGGGCCGTGGCGGCCTGCTCACCCCTACGAGAAAAAGAAAAGAAGCACTAGTCAGTCGCAGGGTCTTTGAATGAATTGAGTGACACACGTGAGGGCAAGTCGGGCTTGAAGCCATCAGAAGCCAGACTACAAGTCCGAGCGGGAAGACCCTTATTTCCTTGGCGGGGCGCGCAAGTGGTACACTCCAGAGATAGCCGCTTGACTATCGGTGGCGAGACCGTGGGGTCCAGGCACGATGCTCGGCCCGCCTCTGCACTCGTGCAGGACGCGACATTGCTCTCATGTATAAGCACATAAGGCGCTGAAAGCGATGGGTGCGTTTCTGACCCCATGGCCAGCGCGTAGGGCGGTGCGCAGGGAGGGAAGTGGCGGCTTTCGTCTGATATTGCAGAGGATCATGTTCTGGACCAGATATGCGATTCATGGTCTAGAACATCGGGGACCTCGTGCATTGGTGGCACGCGCCACATCACACATGCGGTCCGCCTCACCCAAGTGGCCTCCGCCTTACACCGCTGCTTGTGTGCTGTGAAGCTATCGGCGAGAGGGGGAGCGGCCACTGGACAGCTGCAAATGCCAGAGGATTAGGATCTTCTGGGCGACCGAGAGACGAGATCCCTGGGAAGCTGAAGGACAGACAGCACGCCCCGCCGAATGTCCTTGGCGCAGCGGTCCAGGATGTACACGGCCCAGTGCTAATGCCGATGCTGAATCAAATGGTAGCGAGGCTCTGCGCCATGTCGACGAGCTCTTGTTGCGACTAAGGCAAGTCTGCGGACCGAGACTGAAGCAGTCATAGGACGAGATTTACAAAACCTGTGGCGCGGCGGGGTTTTGTGACCATCGTTTGGCAAGCCTGTTCTGACAACGATCGACAGGGTCGGATGGAGAAAGCCAAGCCTTTGGAATGGGAAGGAACAGGAAGATCGCCAAAGGGGTCCTTCCAGCGCCCTCGCTCCAAGCAAAGGGGCTTGCATGTCCCTGGTCGCTCGAGGTCGCATCCAGCCCGAGGGGCCGTGTGACTGTCTAGACCAACGACATGGAGAAGACAGAATGGCCATCTCGTAGGCCCATGGAGCGAAAAGGGCAAATTGTAATTTGGCATGGGCAAACGCCATATTTCGAGACCATCCAGACCCGTGGCAAACTGCATTTTCCCATGTCCTAAACGCAGCTGACCTAGGCCCCGCAGGATGCGAAAAACAAAAAAAGGGTATAGGATGGGACAGGCGATGGGCGGTCCAGGCATTGTCGTGAAAACCGATATTCCCAAGCATCGACCAAAGGATACGAAGCCGCGATGGATTGAAGGGGGGTGTGGTCTGTGGTGGCAAACAAGGGGGGGGGGGCGTGGTGCAGCCGCTTGGGACGGTGCCTGCAGCTCCCCCTATTCGGGTTGTTTGTGAAGCTTGGTGGTCAGGCCAGCAGCAGCAGACCACCTAAGCTGGCCGAGGTACAGCAGGTAGTACAGCAGCCACAAAGCGGCCAGCGACTAACAACCAGCAGCCAGCCAGAGGACTCGTCAGGAGCCCATCAGTGGCTCCAGCGCGCGGGCACCCGGTTGCACAACTGGCGAGGAGGGAAGGGGGGGCGTGCGTAGGACTTCGAACAGTGAAATCAGAGACGGGCAGAAAATAGGACCCTTACCTGGTCAGGTCTTTGTAGGCCTAGAACACACGCGCCAAAAGATCACCTGTCAGTCAATGTGTCCCAACTGCCAGGCCCCTGCACAACCCCTCTCTTGCCCCCCTCCCCCCCTGGGCCCCTTGTCAACGCCCAAAACGTGGAGGAAATGGGGTTGACCGAGGAGCGAGTGTAAGAGAGATGGAGAACGAGACGGAGACGAACCGACAGGGAGCGAAAGAGCACAGAAAGGGGGGGAGAGAAAGAGAGAGAGAAAAGGGTAAGGGTGTTCCCAGCGCCAAGAAAAGAATCGGCACGTACCTGGGCAATGTCACCGGCGCCAGCACCGGCACCACGCTGTCCCTCTGCATTTCCAGTTCTATTCTCACGTTCACGTCCACCGTTTGTGCTGTCGTCAGCAACGGTGGCTGCGGCCGTCGGGGAGGCGGACAATGTTCCAGACTGCGGGGCGTCCGAGCCTTCGTCCTGATGGGACCTTGCGGGCGCCATGGCCTGATCGTATGGAAAGGAAATCGAGTGTCCGGGTTTTGACTCGCACAAGTTTTTGCTCTGTCAGCGAATTGTTGTCTCCTTGCTCCTCCTCGCTCGGGGCAACGTTGGTTGACTAGGAAGAAAGACACGGCAGTCGACACCTTTGGCCTCAACGAGGTAATGAAATGGGAGGGGGTCTCTAATGTGATCCAAAGGGAGGTGGCGCGGTCGCGGGATGACAAGCGGGCGGGTAGGCGGGAATGAGGGTGCGACGTGACGAGTCTGAGTGGGAGGGGCTCCTTGTCGCTGAGAGTGATGATGGTGGGTGGGTGGGTGGGTGTAGGTAGTGTTGTGTTGTGTTACCTTGATGATTGCCGAGATGTTTGCAAAGTGAATAATTGTGCTGGGCTAGTAATTGGTAGGGCCGGGGGGGGTGGGCGAGTGCTGAGTGGTAGGTGGTGTGTGATGGGTGACGGTTGATGGATAATGGATAGGCTGTTTGAGGTGGAAGAGGGGAAGGGGGGGCTTTCGGGATGCGAATCTTGGGCATGGCAATTTTGTCAGGTAGAAGCGACGACCTGGGTCGCTGACAGATGGGCAGACAAAACGAAGACGGGCAAGCAAGAGACAGGCAGGTAGGGTCTCACGCAAACCAGGCCCCCGCTTGTCGTACGTCTTTTGGGAGGTTCAAAGGGTTCCAGAGATGAGCAGGTGGAACCACCACGACTCGCCGACGATGAGTCGTCAGGTTCAGTCGGTCGCCGGCAAGATCACATTCGTGTGCAATTGCCGTGTCCATCGGACCGATGAGAGGGTAACCCTCCTTGAGAAGAACAATTTGTTCAGAGAGAGCGGGAAATTCGCAGTTTCCCATTATCAGAGAAAAGGGATTTCTCAACTTTGTGCACTTTCTCCGGGGACCCAATTCTGGAGCATAACCCATATTTCATATCCTCAGAAATGCCGACACTACCCAGGGCTGTGTACTCTTAGTATGTCAGCGAGGCGCCGCTTTTCACCCTCGCTTCGATCGTCTAGTTGGTTAGGATGATGCATTGTGGTCCTTACTACAAAACTGCATTGACGGCAGTTCGAATCCGCCTCGGAGCATTTCCTTTTGCCATTGCCGCTCCAAACGACATACTTTTTGCTTCATGGTGTTTCTGCTGCCGCCGCCGCCACTATTTATCACTCGCGGTCCGTTCGAAACAAATACCGTACCAGGCAACGGGAGAGTGGCATGTCCACCTGACCGCTCATGACACCATGTCGAAGAGCTAGTATCCTATCACAGCACCAGGCCACATATTGCCGTACTGACTTACACCTTTGTCCGCGTGCCGCGTTGTCGTGGGGGCTGCTGCTGCCCCTGCATCGACGGTCGTGGTGATATCAAGTGTCTGTCCGTCTCGACGTGAGCCATCTCGGCGCTAGGCTGCCGCACCTGACAGATGACATTCTTCTGCCGTTGCGCGTCCACTTTTAGACGAGGTACTTCGAACCAGGCCGAAGAGGTCTTATACATCGCCTAGTCAAGAGACGGCATCTACACCGGAGCCGCCTCCGTGGCTCGTTTCGCCAGGGGAGGTCACTGGCGTGGAAAATAAAGCAAGTTTCGGCGGGGACAGGCAAGCGAGGCCAGACGCGGCCGGGAAAGAAAGGGACAGAGAGAGAGAGAGAGAGAGAGAGAGAGAGAGAGAGAGAGAGAGAGAGGGAGAAAGAGAGAAGAAGAAAATGGCAAGGCAGAGGAAAGGAAAACTGGCACTGCGGAACGCGCGAGGCCATCGTCAATCAACAAGACTCTCTCCCCCTCGACCTCGATATGGAATGGACTCCGACCACCCAATGGCAAGTAGTCCAGGCAGGCACCTTGCTTGCACCTTGAAAACACAAGCGAATATGGCTCCTTGGTGGTTTCCCTTGATTAGGGACACCGGGGGGAGGGGGCCTTGCAACATGGCAGATGCGTAAAAGCGGCAACATCGAACGGGGGTTCAATGAAGGAATGGCTTCGAGAGAGCAACAGAAGGGGGGGAGGCGCCTTCCACCACCACGAGCCGGGCCCCGCAACTGGCAGGGCACATTCAAAGACCTCTAGCGTAGCCCACCGGCCAGCTGGTGCCCCGTAATCCCCACCCATCTTGGCCCCAAATGCAGAGTTGGGCTCCCGCCGCCCCTGCGCCTTCGATGGTACACCAGTTGTCAGATGCTGATCCATCTCCGCCCCGGCCGAAATCGTATCCTCCACGGCGGGATCGAGAAACGTCGACTTCGATGCCACAAGGTCCCGGACGGAATCCTATGATATCAGACGGTGTGGCATTCACGCCCCCGGACTCAGGACCAACCCCCTCCGACCGACCGACGGCCGTCGAAACCCCACCCACGGCTCGCCCTTTGCCCTTACCTGTTGTCCCGTACGCACGTTCTGTTCTCCTGTTGTTCCATGGTCCTGTCTGTCCTGTTCATCCTCGTCCCTGTCGTCGCACCCGAAACGGTACAACCCCCGTTTCTTTCCCACACCCACCGCCCGCTATTTCCCCCTCTCCTCTCTCGTCTCCCATCTCGATCTGATGACGGCATTTCGAGGCTGCGATCATCAAAACCCATCTCGATAGACCAACAAATAGTTTCTCGGGTGACGGAGAGCCCCCCCCCCCCCTCTTCCTCGCACGAGACATGGCGCACAACTGATGTAGGCACGACACCCGCAAACCGCCCGCATCGAGATGCTCCCCTGTCGTCAGAAATCAAAATCAATCGACTGACCCCCTTTCCCGCGAGCCTGTGTGTGTGCAAGCGACAGGCGACCCATGAGCCTGTCGGCAGACAAGGCTGGGTCATGCCGGAATGACATGACTCCCATGGGCCTTCGAATCGTCATGTAGACCCAGTGAGGCTGCTTTTGCATCGCGATGAATCGCAATTCTGTATTAGCCATCGAGAATCGCCCACGAAACCACTTCTTCGCCGCTGGTGCCCCTTTTCATCCCTCTTCCCCTCCCTCCCCCCTTTTTTTGCCATTCAAGCGTACTGGTTGCTCAAGCCTTGTTCGCCTCGTCGTGCCCGACCCTCGAAATCTCTCAAACCCATTCATGCTTTCCTTACCTTTCTGTTGGTCATGGCAAAGGTGACATGTAATGGTGGCAGGTAGGTGTGCGATGCAATGCGATTCTAGACGTGCCGGCCTACGTCATGTGGAAGCCGAGCCCAGGTTCGAGGCCGTGGGTCTCCGCCGAAGACGACCTTTTGTCCCAGCCAGCCCTGGTGCAGAGTCGTAAAGTAATCCATTTTCCCATGCTAGCCTCGCCCCTGCACCCTACAGTGTTAGGTGCCTTGGTAGGTTCAGGCAGATACTTTGCGCACTCCTGCGCTCCCGCGGCTCGCAGCCAGCTCAGCTTGCCCTGGCACAAAACCATGCACGGCTTGACAATTGATAGGTCGCCCCCCCTGACCTTGTTCCCACCCCCTTCTCCCCACCACCCGCAATCGAATCACCGGGTGTGCGCGCGGACGACCGACTGCGGCTGGAGTCTTTGGCGGACAAGGCCAGAGCACCTTGGCAGCTGAAGGATGGCTTCTCTCTTCGATTTGCTCGTATAGTGCACTCATGGCCTCGAACTCGCGGACAGTGCCTAAAGGTTGGCGGCATGGTGATTATTAGGAGCTGAGCATGAGTCGTAAGTGGGATCGATCAGGAAGATCTGGCGTCACTGAGCCAAACCACATTGGTATGCCATCGCCAATGCCTCAGCGTATTGTCTCGTTCGAAGTGCGAACTGTCATATCGGAACAGGCGGTTGGCCCATTGAAAGTCTTCGCTGACGCTGGAGATCACGAGTGCTTGACTACCCCCCGATATATGTCGTTCGCCTTGCCGTCACCCTATTACTAGTGGTAATATCATGCCTTCTAGTCCTGAGGCGGGGGGACGGGGGCGAGGGGGCGAGGGGGAGGCGGCATAGCAGCCTGTCAGTGGCCGTTGTCATCGAGATTGTGAGGATTGTCATGTTTGTTTAGGTGGGAATCTGAGCGGCGAAATGGTTCCGCCATGTGTCATCGGTGTAAAATGCCATGAGGTGTGACATGCGCTTCTACCAGGTTTGCCATTGACCACCCACGCCCATATACGTTATACAATCGGTCGATGAGCCCATTCTCGCCAGAGAGGGTTGCGTTCGTCGATGACCTACTTACTGGTGACCGCAATCAAGAAGACGTACATGACCCCCTGAACGATCGTTACCCATCCACCTGTAACTTTGCCAACCTTAGATTTGGCTGCCCACGTTCGCCCCTTGGTGTCTGTTTGGGAGTTTGACTCAGTATTTATCGGCAGTGCTTATCTCTTGGGTTAGTTCGCTCCGGGCTCAACGATTAGTCAAGAATCTTCTGTGACAGTGTGTAATTGTAGGCTTGGGGAAAAGAGGAGACAGCGTGCCTTTGACAACAGTGGTTCTTTCTCATGTGCAGTCCACTAGGTCGAGCTTGTCTCACTTGCAGATGTCGCAGTGGACTTTCCGGGCCACCAGTGCCTCTCCGTGCGAAACACCACGCACTTTGATGAAGGTTGGGTGGACGGAGGCCAGATGCTCTCGATCCAGACTCAAAAGTTCGATGCGCGACGCTGGTTCTGCAGCATGCTCACATAATTGGTCACTTGCAGCTGGCCTACCGACCAATCGACTGGGGGTGTCGTGTTAGCAAAACAACCACACTGTCTCCAGCGTGCTTTTCTTTACGTTTCCACACTTCGATAACCACACAAAATGCCCTTGAAGCCGATGCAAATCGAGATTCTGTCCTTGACGGACAATCGAGAGCCAGTCGGTGGTTTTCCTCTGGTGGTGTCTGATCCATCTACTCTTGCGCACCGTTCATTGACTGTCCAGGCGGAGCGTGGAGTCCGTTGCTCCAGGCTCCACTGTTGTCCGATCGTGTTTGACTGGCGAGAAGCTTCGGTTTCTCAAGGCAACATGATGTCAGGCCAGCCTTAGGTTGTTAAACAGCAAGATCGAGATGTTGGATTTTACTGTTTGTCTTGCCTTGTTGTCTCTCGAGATGTAGAAGTGCTTTCGACAACTTTATTGAATACCAGGCGCCTGTGCGATGAGACACCGCCTGGTCGGAGAACCCACAAGGTAGGTTCCTGGTGGCTTTTTGGCCGAATCCCTGCCACGACTGTTGTCGTGTGTGGAGATTCTGACTATGTGCACGCCCACCCCCTTGTAATAGTGCTAACTGTCCCCGTGTCCCTATGGGTGTGCAGAATGTACGTTCAGTCTTGAGTCCGTTCTTGCGCTGCGAGCGACGGAAACCTAGTGATTTAGCCCCATCTCAGGCAGCCGGTCTTGGCTCGACTAACCAGGAGTCCCCCGGCCAGTTTTGCCAGTCTTCTTCATCGTCAGGTGCATATTTGGATGGTCGACTGCCCTTCCGTTGCCCAAACGCCATCCCACGGATGGTTGACAGAGACTTTGCACCCCTGCAAGAGTAGATCCGCCAGACTCGGTACCTTGCTTGTACGCCGCCTCGCCTACCTCATCATCAGTTCCGGCTCGCTGCCATCCCTCCCTCAAGAAATACACCAGGCGACACAGTTGTGCCCAAAGCACCGCACCAGCTACTCCTCCCCCCCCCCCTCTCTCTCTCTCTCAGAACGCGGGGTCTCTACTGCTGTCTGTCAACCTTGTGACGCATCTCGACCTGTGTTTGGTTTATCGAACCTGACCAGATGATCCATTGCTCTCTGTTCCAGCATCCGGCCATTCTCCGAAACCCCAAGTCCTCTGATCAGCTCCAGCAATCTTCCCAGGTAAGTCAGTGTGCGTACTTTCTTTTGGTTTGGTTTGGGGTGTACACAATATCCTCTCCAGCCAGTTTCGGGGGAGAGGGCGGTCGGATGGCTGGCTTGCAACTTGCCGCTGCTTTTCAGATGGACCTCTGGACTGCACATGCATATCCCACCATGATCTCAGCGCCTTTCCTCTTTGGTCGAACTAGCGTGTGTCTCCACAACCGAGCACTCGGTCTGCTCGACCATGTCATCGAGATCTTGCACCTCCGTTGCGACCAACCGTTGGGTATATCCACAACACGTCTGCCGCATACCATTTTGGGTGTTGTGACAAGACTGACCACCGACACACCTGCTGATGATTGCCGTTCCCACAACCAGACCACACGATCCACGACCACTTTCATTTGACAAACACGACGTCGCTGCCATTTTCGAACCACCTGGAAGCCGAAATCAGATCGAGCATTCTGTCGACATTTAGCTGGGCTCTTGAACAACCGATTTCGACAGCCCGCACAATCGCAGTGTTGTGACTTCCGAGAGACGTCGCATATTCCAGCCACACGAAAGAGAACGCGTCGACCGATTGACGACGACATAGACTCCTGCTGTACATTGATCAACCACAAATCGACCCATCGAGTAGAACATTTGAAGTTCCAAAGACGGATGATTGATTGAAAGAGCACACAATACACCCAAACGCCGCCAGTCGATAGGTAGCGAAGACACAAGGAATCAACCGACCACAAGCGGGCACCGACGCCGTCGGTACAATCCGTCTGCATGGCCCAAGGCTTGGGCACGATCTTCGTGGAGTTGGGGATCTTGCAATACCTGGATACCTTCGTCGAGCAAGGCTTCGATACATGGGCTACCATCTTGGATATAACAGAATCTGACCTGTGAGTGTTTGGGCAATACTCTGTTGTACAGGATATATGCTGATCCACATGACTTGCAGCGATGCTCTGGGAGTGAAGCTAGGCCACCGAAGGGTGAGTGCTCGTCGATCTTGTTGACGATTTTTCGATGCTGACACAATTGTGCAGAAACTTCAAAGGCGTATTGCGAACTCGAGAGGGCTGGCCCCAGATGCCTCACTTGTGTCTCCTATCCGAGCGAGTGTTGAGGATACTCGTACAGAAAATACCAAACCAGAACCGATCAAGCAAGATTCGAAGGACATTGCTGTCGTTACGAAGCGAAAGTACCGACGACACCCCAAGGTACGTGCTTGCCGGCCCAAGCATGGCAGGTGAATACTGATCATGAAATAGCCGGACGAGAATGCACCCGAGAGGCCACCGTCCGCATATGTGTTGTTCTCAAATAGTACGTTCTGCAATAAGTCGTGGAAGGCGCTCTCAATGTTAACAAGCTGTAGAAATGCGCGATGATTTGAAGGGTCGTAACCTGACGTTCACCGAGATCGCAAAGCTCGTGGGAGAGAATTGGCAGAGTCTGTCACCTGTCGAAAAGGAGCCCTTCGAGACGCAGGCATTGAACGCCAAGGAAAAGTACAACCAAGATCTGGCAGAGTACAAGAAAACATACGACTACAAGAAGTATGCCCAGTATCTCCATGACTTCAAGCAGAAGCAACTTCACCAAAACCAAGGTACGTGATTGGACGGTGCAAACCACGTACGCTGATCTGGAGGGGTCGCTAACAGTCGTTGGAAGCTGCCAAGAATGGTACTAAACGCTTGAAGCTGGATGCCAATGCTACCAGAGTTCATCATGGCAGCAGTGCTAGTGTAACTCCTGGCGGCAGTAATACTGGTAGTGGTAGCGACAGCGTCATGGCAAGTGATGGCTCGACAACACGGAAGGACAGGGTAGGATCCGTAACGTCCATGCCGGATTACCCATTCGCGCCCAGTCTGTCACATCAACATGCCGTCGAAGAGTCGATGCATTCGCCAGCCAGCACAGCCTTTGAAATGGAGCGATCTCCCGTCGGAATCTCTGGCAGTCCGCATGGCCCTCATCAGCGGGCACGAAGGCCGACGTGGTCAGACAGGCATGCGAGTCCGGAGAATGGGATGTCGCAACATTTACCCTCATTGTCGGATGTGTTCAACGGTGATCGCATTGCTAGCGTCACGAGGACATCGGACTATCATGGGCTCGGCGGGTACGCGCCGGGCCCGGTACCGCCACCGCATTCTGGTCCAACGATGCCGTTGTTGAAGCACGAAATTTCTTCAGCGGGGAGTGCAGGATCACCAGGGCCAGCCTACAGTAGGATGCCAGGCGATGCTTCACTGCCCATTCACGCGCTGTTGTCGTCAAGCAATCCATCGCCGCCTGCTGCGTACGAACAGAGACCAATGCCTTTTTTCGGACAGCCAGCAAAATATGATGTCTTCTCTGCGACACATGCCCCAGGACCCGGTGCCATGGGCGTTGCAATTGGTATGTCTGTTGTCTGAAGATGTCTTGAGTCGTAGGCTAATACTGGTCAGACCAACGAGGTCCACCTCCTTTGGTCAAATACTCATCATCCGGCTCGTCGGGAGCCACAGATGCATCAACAACGTCGTCACGAACATCCATCAGCGTCCATGAAGGCGTTATCGGTCCAGCGAAGGCGGATCCAAACCTAGACGGTATGAGTGCGTTGCTCAGGGCAGGGGAGATCGTTGGCCGTCGTGAGAGTCGAACACGATACCGTTTGTCCTAGAATGACGAACGGACTCTGTTCAGTCTTGCGTCCTTGGTTGGGGATTGTTTTTTTCTGTGGTGCGGCACCACGACGACGCTGCCACGTTCGTGGCCGATGAATTTGTCTTGCGGTTTGCTTGGGTGGGACGAATGGCTTGACTCGACTCGACTCGACAGACTGACTTGGCGTGTACTTGAATACCCTCATGATTTGGCATATGCGTTGGGCTTCTTTCGTGCCACCGGAAAGGTTCGTCAGGATGGCGCGCGCGGAGGGATTTTCGTCGGGCGTTGATGTTATGATTCTTTTTCGTGGGAGAACTTCTGGTTCGACGCCGGGAAGGGAATACAGGTCTAGGGTTGATGGACAGGGGAATGAAAATGCACGAACACGGGGACGTGCTCCATCATTAACGTGTTGGGGAAAAAATAAAGACTGCCGATGCGCAGAATCATCATGATAACAGCCTCTAGAGCCAGAAGTGTCGGGGTGAGATGTTTGATCAGATTGATGGTGACGGAGGGAAGTGGACGGACACGAGCCTGCGGAGTCGCCGTCATAGCTCGGATACTAACGCTGATCTTCAAGCCGTGAAGCAAGGGCCCTGCGAGATGGACCCTGAACACTCCTCACGGCGATAGATCTGAGGAGCAGGAGCCACGCACGGGGTCCAAGGCGAGCAAGAGGCAGGTTCGGCAAGACGAGGGCCCCTGAGCCCACGCACGCCTCGCGGCAGCCATTCGTGCCTGCTCTACACCCTAACGGTGCAGTTGCATTTCGCCCCTCAAGATCGATTCTTCCCCAGCCAACCCGAGGCGAGCGTGACCCGGTATGCGACATCCACTACGTCACAGAGGAGGCATTCAGGGTCCATGGCGGAAAGACCCTTCTTGGCGTTTGCCATAAACCGGTTCGCGTGAGCCATCTCCCACCCTGCTCTCCCTTGCCTCGCCTATTTACCCTCCCGTCCAATTTGAGCTGGGTAGGTAACCATTGGTACGAATGGCGACTGATATCGCGCGTAAGCCTGGATGGTGTGGCGGTCGGCCGGAGCAAATCCTCCTTGAGCCTATCACGAAGGCTGCTTGCTGATCCTGGTCGCAAGGCCTGGTCTGGCCAGGCGGCACGACAACCTCAGCATCTCAGGCCGGACTAGCCTACTTGAGCCAGCCTCAAGACTCCACGTGAGTCGCTCCTGGTGCATGTCACTCTGCTCGTCTGTGAAAGCAGAGAGTGGAAAGGGAGCACTGATCAGTGTCCATCAGACCAAGCCAGCAGGCCGGGAAACGCTCGTCTAAGTCGGATATGAAGTGTTAACGTCCCCTAGGAATGCCTTCTGTTGAGGATTTCATGATGTTGTATTGCTTGTTCTGGCTCCAGCTTTTACCACCGGCACACGTCTTGACCCTTCTGCTACACAGACAGCGTTTGGTGCTGAACAGCCGACTTGATCATCATCTGTGAAAGAGCCTTGCTAGAATCTTTTTAGACGCCAGCATACTAGCAATACTCCACAAGCTTCGAGGGCTTGGTTGAGAGAATCATCATGACCAGGACTTCTTCCTAATGGCACGTTCTAGCAAAATAGGTAAAAATACATAGGCCTGTGCAACAGGGAATGTCGCGCTATTTATCATCTTAATCAGTGGACCCTAGCTACTACATGGTACCACGAGACCTGGTTATTTGAGAGAAATCTGACGCCCTGACCATACCACTGTCGATTCTAGCGCGGCATCCGATTTGCTGTGACTCCGTGAAGCATGCGTGAGGGGATTCAAAGACAAGTAAAGACTTGCTTGCACATGGTGAGTGTTCTTTCCAAGCTGATATGGTAGTTGGCTGCCCTTAACCAACTGGAGGCGGTACGTCTGTTCAAGTATATCTGGATGGCTGTGTCACAGGTGGCTCAATCCACCACTCAAATCAAGTGTGCGGAGTTGGCTCAATATCCAGTGACCTCAGGAGGTACACAATTTAACGCTCTCAAGCCACATCTGCCTAGCACAAAAGAGCCAGACTTCCTCCATGTTAGAGAAGAAGTAACCAAGAAAATACATCAATCCCCCAAGGTAACATATTTGTACCTTGTGCAAAATACTTGAGCTCTTGTGGATACTCACCGTCTCCAGATACCCCTAAACTGGTACTTCGTGGGCTGCGACAATCACTAAGTCTTGGATCAAATGGCGGAGGCTGTGACGTCGGGGATCTGACGATTCAACTTTTGTGCATAAACACCACGTTCGCCTCTTCACTTCCTTCACACATTTGCAGTTTCTCAAGGATGCTTTAGCAGCAGGCAAATAACACGTTTCGGAATCCAAGGAGCGTCCATGTCTGACTTCAGATGCCTAGATTAAGGCGGCGAGTCCACGCTCGATAGGTGCGCAAGTCAAGGAAGCACATAGGATATCTGCATGAGCCTGTATGGCCGTCATGTACCCTTTATTTGGTTGCGAAGGCTGCTCCTGGCCTCATCACACGACAAGCCGACAGATGATATGGACGAATGGGCTTGGCAGTGTACTGTATACTCCCATGATAAACAGGTTTAATCAATATCCAAATTTCAAAGGCTGAATCGACAGTGCTTACTCCTAATTCTGGGCATACGCTAATTGCTGAAAATCGAAGCCAGCCCTGCTCGGATTGAAACCCTAAAGCAGACTACTTGGGTTACAGATCTTTCTTGCTGCACTGCTGGCCAAGAGAACTCCACACATTCGCCAGAAGTGAACGATCACTCAAGACTTCTGCCTCGACACGCGAAACGCGAGACGTGTGGACGCATATTCATTACCGTCGCCCATTCTCATCATACGAGATGCCCCGATCCCGTGTGCCACCCAGTATACATACGATGAAGTCATTTCGGGACCGACAAACCCGCCCAAACCCGATTTCCGTGATTCGATGCTCTACACGCCCTTGCCTGATAAAAACATTTCTGCGCGTTCAACGTAGTTACTCGCCGCCCGCCGCAATTTCTGCTGTCCAGTCCTTCCGGATTTCCAACTCGTTCAGCTGTGCCGTGTTCTCGATGACGAGTCCCTTTTCGTTGGCGAGATGGAGAAGACAAATGAAGCAATAGCTTGTAGAAATGTCCTCCATCATCGGCTTGGGATACACCGTTTGCAGGTCATTCATGACCTCGGTGAACTTGAGCATCTTGTCTTTTCCTTGCTCATCACTGGGCGCCTCAGAGGAGGGTGGCGGCGTCATCAACTGGGATGAATCGACGTCCTGCTCGAACATATCAGTATCAGTGGAATCCTCGAACGGATATAGCTGTTGGTAACTTACCGCCTCCAACTTGTCCAGGCGCATGCCCTTCCAAATCTCCTCCTTCAACCGCCTCACATCAACCTTCTTCGCCGTACGGGCATACTGAACGTAGTCTGGTCGAATGCGCCGTGTGGACGTTACGAGCGTCGTGCCAAACGCTCCCAGCGTGTTCGCCATCGTCTCGCCATTGAGGATCGCCGTCAGACCGACACCCTCCGTCATGCCAGCGTCGCCTTCGGCTCCGGGCGAGAAGTGTTCGCGGGCGTCCGCGAATTCCATGTCATCGTCATCGTCCATACCGCCGGCGAAGGGAAGAGCGTCGTCCTGGAAGAAATTCGCGTCGTAATCTCCCTGGGGTAGCTCCGTCTCACCCCCCAGCGCGTTCAGAGGCTCTTTCTGTTGCGCCCAGAAAGCTTCGTCCATCTCCCCGGCCGGAACGTCCCGGTCCTGATAAGAGTTGGCGAAACCGCCGCCGATGCGGCGATTGCTGAGTCTGGCTTTCGGCTTAAGAAATAGGTTAAGCAAGGACTTGGAGTTGAAGTGCTTGTCATCTGGAAGCAGGTTGCGAGACTTGGTCTTCCAGTCCTTTTTGGGCATGGAAATAACGGAGTTGCTGGCCGCTTGTGTGTAGAGGGCATCAGCGATGCTCTGGTCCAGGGGCGCCGAGAAGTCGACCTCGAACGGCGCTTTCTCTTTGCGTGTCCTGGCGGGCCCGATAGGCTTGTCGGCGTCTTTGATCTTTCGTATCCTCCAGTGCTCAGCACTCGACCAATTCTTCTGTAATGCCTGGTCGAAATACCCGAGAATGTCCTCGTGCATCTTGTCCGCCTTCTGTGCGTGATTCATCGAGACAACATAGTCGCCTCCCGCCTGGTCGATCATGCCACCCTCTTCATCACCCTCACCAGCATTGAAAACTCGCATTTGAGGCTCGAGTGCGGCCTCCCTGGCCCATGCCTCACCACCCTCGCCGAATGCGACATCCGCGCCCATATCGAAGGCACCTAGACCAAGATCGTCATCGTCGAACCCGGCCGCATTGTCCCCATCAATGAACATGCCGGAAGTGTCTCCGAGATCCAGGCCTGGGGTTTCTTCCTTATTCTGATCCCGCCAGTCCTCAGGAGCCTTCAAGAATGGAATGTCAAGCGAGCCTGATGGATTGCCAAGATCGAAGGATTTGAGTGACGGGCAGACATCGAGTTCGTCAAGGCGACCAAGCTCAGGGAAAAATCTGGCACCAAGCGCACCGAGATCGATCTGAACATCCGTATTGTCCTCCTCAGGCTCCACGTCGTCCGTGCCATCTACCAAGGAAGCCTGATGCGTGTCATCCGCATCGTCGTCCTCTGCCTCTTCATCCTGCTTGCGACTCTTGGATGTATGTGCGTCACCAACATCGTCGCTGCTGTCGAACACAATGCGACCTTGCGAATCGATCATGAGGTGGTTGAGAAGCAGACCCTTGGCGCCACCTTCGTCAAAATCGGCAGACGCCTTCTTGAACAAGGGGTCGACGGCGAACTCAAGCTCAAACTTCTTCAGTTGCAAAGAGGCGAAGGATGGGGCCAATGTAGCCTCAGAGGACCGTTGTGTTTTCCTCTTGGCCTTCTTCTTGACATTGCCGTCTTCGTCAAGCTCCTCCTCGCTCTCATCGCCCTCGCCATCTTCGCCTTCCCTGTCCTTCTTTTTGTTATTGCTGTCGGCGAGGCCGCTGAGCAGCTTGCCGG